CAAAACACTCCTCAGCACAATGAGAGAGGATGAGAGGGTAATGTCATAAAGCTTCAGTGACTGACAATCTAATGGATTACATTAGCTGAGAAAACGTGTTTAACGGTGCAAGCTCTTCCATATGACTGAAGAATCAATCTCACACTGAGCTTGTGATAAAACTTTTATGCTTGTGTGTAATGAGACAAGACCTCCCTACATCAAAATGGCTTAAAGAAATCCAGAAAAAATTAATGTAATAAAACAAATCACATGGTTTCTGCAAAGGTACTGGATGTCACCAAGGCCTCATTTGATTTCTGAGAACTAGGAGAACTTCCTGTATCTGAGCAACCTAACAGCAGTGTGAGTATACAATATTGATTGACATGAAGCTATAACGGATATTATACAGAGGGGCACACAAAAGCAAATGGGGGCGGAGAGAGGGGGAGGGGTTGATGTAGAGGGAAGGAAGTACAATGACCTTCCTATTGTTCACCTTTTTGGATTTGCTGTTGAGCGTCACTGCTGCCGTATTATTGTGAGTCCAAGTCTTTGGAGATACTGTCTTGTTGAAGGCAGCTTGGAATGAAGCCCAGTTCAAGGTTTTTAGGCTGTATATAGAATTTTTAGGGGCAAAATGCAGTCAGGATCAAACCGTTTATCATGTTATAAAATATTTGGTTACACTTTATTTTAAGGTGTCCTTGTTACAGTGTAATTATGCATTTAAGTACTGAGTAATATTAATGAACTACATGTACTTGGTTAGGATTAGGGTTTGGTTTAGGGTTACTTGCATGTAATTATGCATAATTTATTGTTATTATAATATCAAGTACATGTAACAAGGACACCTTAAAATAAAGTGTTACTAAATATTTCTATTTCAAAAAATGCTTTTCTTTTGAACTTTCTATTCACAATTTCCACCAAAAAATTAAGCAGCACAACTGCTTTTCAACATGATAATAATAAAAATGTTTCTTAAATCAGCGTATCAGAATGATTTCTGAAGGATCATGTGACACTGAAGACATGGAGTAATGATGCTGAAATTCAGCTTTGTATCACAGGAATAAATTGCATTTTAAAATATATTAAAAAAGAAAACTGTAATATAACAAAAATGTAATAATATATATTTTTTTTTTATCAAATAAATGCAGCCTTGGTGAGCAATGTTTCAAAAACATTAAAAAGTATTCACTTTTGAAAGATAGTGTACAGAAAAACAACTTCTGTGAAAAATACTGCTATGATATGAATGATACTGATTTGTGTTCTGAAATTCAGACTGTGTGTGTGTGCTTAAGCTTGTGTGTGTGATGCTGTGTGTTTTATCTCTGTACCCATGCCCAGTATTTGGCTTGTTTGTGTTAATCCCTTTATCCTGATTAGTTTAGGATGACTGTTTTATTATTATTATTATTTTAAACATCATTTAAGCAGCACTGGAGTCAGAATGACTGTCTGATTAAAGTGCAGACTCTCAAAGTGAAGTCAGTCTAAAAAAATAGAACAAAACAAAAACAACTTTGTTATAAAGTCACGAAAAGATCTTCATTTGTGATCCAGCTTCATCTACAGAAGAAGTGAGTATAAGGTTTTTTAATGAATCTTTGCAAATCGCCTTTCCTAATAATGTGCTAATTATCAAGTTTCACGATGAATGCAGCTAAAGTAAACAGTCCCTCAGAGAGCGGCTCAGAAGAGAGGGGCGGGGCCAGCAGAGCTCATTAACATTTAAAGGAAAATGCTACAAAACGGCTTGCTCTGAAAAGAGCTGTTTTTGACAGGGTAAAAAAAGGTGTTTTTTACACTACCATTGAGAAATTTTAACCAAACTATGTTACAGACATTTCATTAAGACCCTAAAGAATCATATCGTAATATTAACTACATGTACTTAGTATATGGTTAGGGTTAGGATGATGGTTTGGTTTAGGGTTACTTGCATGTAATTATGTATAATTTATTGTTATTATAATAGTAAGTACATGTAACGTGTAACAAAGACACCAGAAAATAAAGTGTTACCAAAAACAAAAAGTTAAAAATAAAAAGTATTTTCTAGCATTGCAGTAATGTTGTTGTGATGCTGTTAACATGTTCTCCTGTTTTTTAAAACCATGTCAAACCTGTACTACGTTTAGCATCACCAAAAAGCCACGTTTTTGCCACATTCATCTTTAAAAGTGAAGAAAAACAGATTAAATATACTCCAATGTCTCCGATATTTTTGCATTTATACTTTTGCATTTAAAAGTTTGTGGTTGGTAATTTTTTTAATGTTTTGGAAAGAAGTCTCTTGTGGTCACCAAGTCTGCGTTTATTTAATCAAAAATAAAGTAAAAACAGCAATATTATTAACGTTAAAAATAACCCTTTTCTATTAAATATATTTTAAAATATCATTTATTCCTGTGATGCAAAGATGAATTTTCAGCATCATTACTCCAGTCTTCAGTGTCACATGATCCTTCAGAAAAATGAGTGCTTAAGAAACACTTCTAATTATTATCAGTTAAAAACAGTTGTGCTGCTTAATATTTTTGTGGAAACCCTGATACAGGATTCTTCGATGAACAGAAAGATCAAAAGAACAGCATTTATGTAACATTATAAATGCCTTTATGACGTGACGTGGCCAAGTATGGTGACCCATACTCAGAATTAGTGCTCTGCATTTATCCCATCCAACGTGCACACACACAGCAGTGAACACACACACCGTGAACACACACCCGGAGCAGTGGGCAGCCATTTATGTTGCGGCGCCCGGGGAGCAGTTGGGGGTTCGGTGCCTTGCTCAAGGGCACCTCAGTCGTGGTATTGAAGGTGGGAAAGTGCTGTACATTCACTCCCCCCACCTACAATCCCTGCCGGTACGAGACTCGAACCCACAACCTTTGGGTTACGAGTCCGACTCTCTAACCATTAGGCCACGACTTCCCCCCTACTTTTTATATTATCCATTTAATGCAGAGGAAAGCTATTAATGTTTTTAATAACTTTTAAAAAGCTGTGTAAATATGAATTTCAGCTAATATATGCAAATGTAACTGCATTAGGCATAGCTGCTGTTATTTTACAGAATGCTTGACTGCTCATCTGGCATGTTCAATATTCACGAGCTCTATACCGAGAAATTGAATTTAACAGGAGAGTGATGTCACATCTGACCAATCAGAGCGCGAAAGCTCTCGGTGTGTTTAGTCATCTTGCTGTTACAGGGCTGGACGGTCATATCTGTGACTCACTCAGAGAAGTCGATGCTCTGATGGATCACCGGAGAGATGCTGCTAATACTGATTTCCTCTGAGCAAAACAGAGCCAGAAATAACTCTACCAGTTGTCTGTTGTTTGCCCGAAACCAAAGGCAGGTTTGAGAGGCCGTCTGATAAGTTAAACATTTTTACAACGTTTGGATACTTCTAACTTCTAAAGTCCAGTTCAGTGCAGTGAACCAAAAACAAATGGTTGAACCATTGTTTAAAAAGCCTGCTGGGTTTCAGTCGGCTCAAGCAGTGGTGTGTTATAATGCGGATAATGAACTTAGGAAGCAGCGAGAGTGTGTTTAAAGCACGGAGTGTCTACGTGAATCAATATAGCTGAACTGGCCCATCTCAGTTTCCATGGCAACAGCCTTTACGTCCCCCGAGGGCTGCAGTGGGGGCGGCAGCAGCCCCTCTCTCTCAGGCAGGACAGCGGGAACAGCAGCATGGCACAATAACCTACTTCACTCGCTGGCTTGGGGAAGCACCTGGATATTCCCATGCTTTTTATGGTACAGCAAGATGAAAAATACAACTTCCCAGAGCGAAGATGGGTTTAAAATGCACAGATTTCCTATTCAAGCAGATTTAACTAAGCTGATTTTTAACAAATCATTCAGTGAATTGCTTCATAAGCCGCATTTATTTTCTGAAAAAATGTCAAATTAAGGCATGTGATTCTGACACAAACAGATGCCATAATCTTATTCAACAACTCTAAATAGAAAAGTAATTAAATGATCAAATCTAACTAATAAAATTAAAACACATTTTTGCACTTTGATACTCTAAAATCTGTGCTTTCTGCTATGGATTCAATGGAATGGAGCCCTATTTATAGCTTTTAAAACTTATTATATTAATATTAATACTAAATATTATTCTATTACATTATATTGCACACCTTAATTATATTTAATTTAATGATATAGCCTACTATTAATAAATACATAATGTGTAATACTATTAATATTATTATTATTATTATTGAACAAAGTAATTAATTTGCTTTCTTTTTTAAAATATTAATGTTGGTTCTTTGGGTTGGTAATGCAGTAGCAAATTTAACTAAAAAAATTAAGTATTTAATATTTTAATATTTTATTGTCCTCATTTGTAAGTCGCTTTGGATAAAAGCGTCTGCTAAATGTAAATGTAACTATGAAAATATTTAAATCCTTGTGTAAATCTATAAGTACACACAAATATGCATTAATAATAATAATAATAATTAGTAGTAGTAGGAGGAGGAGGAGTGATAATAATAATAATATCTATAGTAATAAATAATATCTATATATTTTTCTAAGGAGCTATATCTGAATATGACTAAGCTGTATTTATTTTCTTCATTTGCTGAAAAGGCCATTTTAATTGAATTAATTGAAGTATGTGATTTTGAAACAAATAGGTGCCAAATCAGAAACAAAATTAGCTGGTAATTCCTATGCAAAGACATAGCTATAACCTGCACAGTAAAATAAAAGAAACCAATAAAATTCTGCAATAATTCTGCAATTTCCGCTTTGAATAGTTCATGTTCACATTCTGTGTGTAACAGCATGACATTTAACATTAAAAGAAAGCACAGAGGTCTAAAATCCAGCTTTATTTCTATCACCGGCCATCAGGAAACCTCACCTCACGGTTTCCCCTAAATGCATCTGAATTAGCGCTGGACAGATCACTCACAGCTGTAACACCCCCCCTATCAGCCTCAGCAGTGAATAATCCACTCACCAACATGGGTGATGATACAGTCCACCCTCTGCTGTAGCTCCAGTAGAGACATCTCCTCTTCCTCCTCCAGCCTGCAGAGCATCTCAGGGTGTGAACGCTGGCCTCTCTGCTCTCCTCTCCTCCGCCGCTCACCCGAGGGCTTCCCCGCTCTGCTCTCACAAAGACAGCAGCCACTCCCAGCCCTTGATGGAGACTCCGATGGAAGACACAAGAGCAAGCCGGTGACACTGGCCAATGAATCCGGCTCTTTTGTTCTACAGCGTGGAGGTGCGGAGAGGCTTTTGTGATGTTAATCATTCATTGTGAATCTCAGCGCCTGAGTGATGCTGGCTGGACTTTACCCGGCTCTCACATCAGCTCTGGCTTCTATCCTAAAGACTGTGTCAGGCACCAGGAAGGAAATCAGAGGGAGGCTACAGTACCTGCCTTCAGAGAGACACAGAGCTCCTTTCACACAAAACCTGGAACAATGGATTCAGTGGAATGGAGCCTTGTGCATACAGCCTGCAGTGTAATAGTCCTGTACTTGTAATGTTTTATTAACGAAACACTATTAGTGTATATTATATTATTCATTTTATATATAT